TGGGGCTTGAACTCAGGGCCATGTGCTCTTGCCTGGCTTTTCCTCTTATGGCTGGTGTGCTACCATTCCTTCACTTTCAGCCTTGTACTAGTTCACTTGAGATAAATCTCCTGAATTTGTCTGCCCAGGCTGGCTTCCGTGATCCTCAGATCTCAGCCTCCTCAGTAGCCAGGATTACAAGCATGAGCTTCTGTGATTCAATCCTTTACTCCTAGTTGTGTAGACCATAGCAAATGTCACCCAGCAGGGTCGCCGGTGCACCCTGCTTCATTTGGAAAGAAATCAGTTTTATGCATAAGTAAAGCAATGGTGGGAAAGCAATCAAGGCTCAGCTTTAAATGCAGATTAGATGTAAAGTCTGGGCAGAGGTGGTATGAATGCCATGTTTTCCACTTGTTCTCCCCACACCCACTTCTCCTTTGCCTCTTGGCAGCTCATCAAGTTTCATTCCTGCAAAGAGCACTGGTTAGTACCAGGTAACAATTCTAATCCTTTGATTGTGGTGGCATAGCACTAAAATTTGCTACTGAATTGCTCATGATCATTTGTTGTAGTTGTTTTCCTTTTTTTTTTCTTTTTTGCTGGTCATGGAGCTTGAACTCTGGGCCTGGGCACTGTCCTGAGCTCTTCAGCTCAAGGCTAGCACTCTACCACTTGAGCCATAGCACCTACTTCCAGCTTTTTCTGTGTATGTGGTGCTGAGGAATCGAACCCAGGGCCTCATGCATTCAAGGCAAGCACTCTACCCCTGAGCCACTTTCCCAGCCCCGTTTTCCTTTTTTTAAAAACCAAATTACTGAATATCTTTTCAAATGTACAAAGGATAATTTAGCTCATTCAGCCTTGGTTCCACAGAACAGCAGTGAACAGGTGCCATGTGTGAGGAGATGGCCCTCACTAGAACCAAATGTATCAATTAACATCATGATCTCTGATGTTCCCAGCTTCCAAAACTGTGAAGAATAGATGTCTGCTGTCTATAATCACAAGATGACCAAACATTTTTCTATTCCTTACAAGAGCAAAAGGTCTTAACCTACACAATCAACACGGTGGCACACCCAGCGACACTTAACTTCACAAACTCCCAGCATAGGCCTTTAGAAATATTTTTCCCTCAAACCAGGTGGGATTGGAATTCACAATCTTTTTACCTTAGTCTCTTAGTGCTGGGATTACAGATTTGTGCTACCTTCCTTGGCTACTGGTAGAATGATAAAGACACTGAGCAGTAGAGAGATAGCTCATTGTCAGCACGTGTTTCAATCTCAGAGAAGGTCTCCAGCTACCCCATTCACTACAGGGAATGGGGAAGTTGTTTGAGTTACTGGATAGCTAAGGGAACTAAATGGTGGTTAGGCCCCTTAGTTAACCAGTCTCCTCTTTCGCCCTTGGTGACAGTGATAACAGGTAGGTCAGGGCTGGGGTGGGGGTGGGGTTCTGGTACATGGCCTATGGAAGGATGGGAGGGGCTTTCCTCTAACCCACATTTGTGGCTACCCTGAAGTCCATGCTAACAGCAAGGAAGCACTTGACTTGGGGTAGAGAATTAAATTGACTATTAGATATAGATTCTATTGTTTTCAAATGTTAGTTGTTTATCTTCCCAGACTCCAGTCCTCTGCCTGTCTCCTCCTATATATGTGTCCAACATAAGAAATGGTCTTAAATACTGTCTAGATTGAGCACATGTTAATTTCTGCCCTTTCTCTCTTTGAAGTTTGGGTCTTTTATCATATGTACCCCTTACCTGCTTTATTTATTTACTTTTGGTAAATGTGTTAGTGAAGTTTATTAGGAAAGGAATACACTGTTAATAGACTGAAAGTCATCTCTAGGTAGAGAACAACCATGATTTTTATCCCAGTACAAGTATCATTAATGATTAGGGACTTGGAGCATTAAACCCCTCTCCAGGACAAACCATTGGGGGCAGTCATTGTCCCTGGGGGAGGGAGGTTTACCAGTGACTTCTAGGCTGTGTTTAACTAAGTTACAAATCCATTGTTTTAAGAACTATTTGTTGACTCACCTTAGGCTATCTTTAATCCTTCCTGAGTGAGGTACTTAAAAAACAAAACGAAAACAAAAGTTTTCTGGACCAGGGGGCCCCTTAGGCTGTTTTAAAAGCTGAAGGATAATGTTTTCTTAGAGACCTGGTGATCTCTTCTCCTAGTTAGGTCCCCTGGGTTTCCCATCGTTTCCTCCTCCTGGGCTCGAGATCCTAAAATCTGTGAGGGAGCTGCCTGTCTTTGGTTACTGCCTGCTGATTCTGATTCCAGCTGAAGTCTGAAGTCAGGAATCTCTTTGCCTGGGTCCGCTGGGGTCTCAGTCTTGAATGATCTGCTGAATCATCTTTTGTTTTGTTTTGCCAGTCCTGGGCCTTGAACTCTGGGCCTGGGTACTGTCCTTGAGCGTTTTTGCTCAAGATAGCACTCTACCACTTGAGGCACAGCACCACTTCCAGCTTTTTCTGTATATGAGGTATTGAGGAATTGAACCCAGGACTTCATGCATGCTAGGCAAGCACTCTACCACTAAGCCACATTCCCAGCCTGACTCATCTGTTTTATTATAATATGTTTTTTTCTAAACACATAGGAAAGCCTTTGAGAGTGAATACTCTAGATGTTTATAGTTACCCATTTATTTGCTTTGTTCTGTACCTGTCCACTAACCCATCAGTCCATTCCTCTAACCATTCACCTCAGAACTTGGGGTTCATTTCAAAGGAGGGTGCAGGTTAATATCTTAGCCCTTGATGTATAGTGTTTGTTTTTTCCTTTCAACTCTAGATTAAAAACAAAACAAAACAAAAAAAACACCAACACATTGGGCACTGTGGCTCATGCTTGTAGTCGTAGCAACTCAGGAGGCTAAGACCTGAGGATCCTAGTTCAAAGGTAACATGGACAGAAATGTCCTTGAAACTCTTATCTTCAAGTAACCAGTAAAGAGCTAGAAGTGGAGGCATGGTTCAAGTGGTATTCAAGCCAGCCTTGAGTAGAAGAGCCAAGTGAGAGAGCTTGAGGTTCTGAGTGCGCCTGTGCACATGTGTGCACACACACTATTTCCCCCCACCCCCCATTTGTGGGGCTTGAACTATGGGCCTGGGTGCTGTCCCTGAGCTCTTCAGCTCAAAGCAAGTTCTCTAGCCCTTGAGCCACTGCCACTTCTGGTTTTCTGGTAGTTTATTGAAGATAAGAATCTCATGGACTTTCCTGCCCATTCTGGCTTTGAACCATGACTCAGATCCGAGCCTCCTGAGTAGCTAAGATTACAGGCGTGAGCCATTGGTGCCCAGCCACATTGCTTTTTTTTTTTTTCTTTTTTCTTTTTGTACTACTGGAATTTAAAATCAGGGCTTTGCATTTGCTAGGCAGGTGCTCTACCCCTTGAGCTCTGTCCCCAGTTCCCCTAAAATGATTTTTATACCTTATCTGAGGTTGCCCTGTTTCCTCTACTTGCCCTGACCCACACATCTGCTCCATTTACAAGCAATCTAGGATTCCGCATAATCGTCCACATTACACAAATCTGGTACCCACACTTTATTAATCTCTAGTCTTCAATTTCTCTCCCTATTACTTCCTCTCTTATCTCGTTACTCAGCATGACTTTTCATTTGCTGTCCCTTCTCTCTTTCAGCTCCCTAGCAGATAATTTTGAAACTAAACAACAGCTGAACAATGTCCCCAGTGTCATGCGTGTCTGGGTATGCACCGCACGTCCATGCTTGCCCAGAACAGAAGCAAAACACAATTTCTTCTATTTTATTTCTTTACATCAAAAGTCATTAAATCTGCCTGCATGACCTTCAATCCATTGGACTATTTTTAATATCTGTGTAATCGAGTAAGTCAGGCTACATTCCTTCGTAGAAGAAATCCTTGCTGCTCAGTGGCGAGGCAGATATGCTCAGGGAACAATGACTCTTTGTAGGGCTGGAGAGAGGCTCCGCCATCCTACAATCACTGGATTGTGTAAGTTATTATATGTCAATCCATGCTAGTTACATATTTGCATTGTTGTGCAAGTATTTTCTTATGCCTTTTTGAAGGGAATCCTGCTCTGGCAATGCAGAATTAAAAGACTCTGTTACTCAATCTAATGGTTTCTTTCTGTTACCCATGCCAGGGGTAGTTCAATTTTTCATGAAAGACTATCTGCTGTAAGATAAACTACAAATAATGTCTAGCAACTCAGACATCACTGTATTTTCTGTAAAACAAAAAGCAACCTGAAGGAGCCCTTTCCTCTTGGTATCAATTTTATAGCAACCATATGTAGGATTAATTACAAAGTTGAGTTGGCAATTTCTAAGTAAAAAGGAGAATTAATTTTTTTTTAATAATCACATACTAGGGGAAGAAAGTGAAAAGAAAATTTTCAACTGGGCACTGGTGGCTCGTGCCTATAATCCTAGTTACTTGGGAGGCTGAGATCTGAGGATCATGGTTCAAAGCCAGTCTGGGAAGAAAAAAACCCAAGAGATTTATCTCCCGTTAACCAACAAAAGGCTGAAAGTGGAGCTATGGCTTAAGTGGTCAAGCTCTAGTCTTGAATGAAAAAGCTAAGTGAGAACTCAAGGCCTTGAATTCAAGCTCCAGTACTGGTACGCACACGGGCATAAAAGAAAAAGAGCTTGAGGATAGCACCTAGGCTCTGAGTTCAAGCCCCACATCTGACCAAAAATTAAGGTCCAAAATTATGCTAGCAATTCCTACTTTGAGATACCTTAATCCTTGTACCTGACCTCTTTCTTGCTTTTATGCTTGGGTGTTGGAGAGGTGAGAGTTCATTCATTCAATTCCCACTAGGCACTTGATTGAATGCTAAGCATATCCTTGCCCAGATACTGTTTGTTGTAATACTTATGAATGCCATAATAGATTCCTGCATATTTTGTCTGCATTTAATCAATTAACCTCTCTTCCTTCTTCTACTCAAGACACAATGGGCAAAGTAAAATATAATTGAATTCTCTTTTCTCTCTTCAGAGGAAAAGGACCAAATTCATTGCTTGTGATTACCTGACTGAGTGGTTGTACAAGTAAGTTAAGCATTCTTTCTTTCTTTCTTTATTTTTATTTTTTGCTGGTTCTGGGATTTGACTCAGGATCTGGGTTCTGTCTCTGAGCCTCTCTGGGCTCAGGGCTAGCACTCTACTACTTGAGCTACAGCACCACTTCCAGCCTTTTTTGTTTATGTGGTACAGAGGAATTGAACCCAGTGCTTCATGCATGCTAGGCAAGCACTCTACCACTAGGCCACATTCCCGGCCCTGTGTATGTCTTTAAATATTCAGTATCTCTAAGAATTCCACCATGTTAATTTGCAAGTGGAAGAACAGCAGTTGACTTCAACTCTCACTTGTGGTCTTCTTGTCCATCAAACATGTGGTATCCTGGCCAGCCACAATCCAAAGAGGACAGGAGAAACCTTCACAGAATTCTTCTCCATCCCATTTGTGGAGGAGTGGCTAAAGAATCAGTAAGTAAAGAATTTCCTCCTTTTTCTTCCTGTCAGTCATGAGGATTGAACTCATAGCCTGGGTCCTGTCCTTGAGCTCTTTTGCTTAAGGCTAGCACTCTACTACTTTGAGCCATAGCTCTTTTTCTGGTTTTGGAGTGATTAATTGGAGGTAAAAAGTCTCATGAGGACAGCTTCCAACAGCCCCAGACAGCTTCCAACCTCAGTCCTCAGATCTCAGCTTCCTGAGTTGCTACGATTATAGGTGTGAACCATTGGTGCCCCAGTGCCCTCCTAATCTTAAAATGGTATTAATGAACTAAGTCTAACAGCCTAGGACTCTGGTCAGTTATACCTCGGCCTCTTGTGTCTCGATATTTTTAGCCTGAGTTAAGCTCATCTTAACAATGCAGAGATTCCATTTCAAAAATGAAGTAGAAGCCTGGTGCTGATGGCTCATGCCTATAATCCTAGCTACTCAGGAGGCTCAGGTTTGAGGATTGTGGTTTAAGCCAGCTTGGGCATGAAAGTCCATGAGACTCTTTTTTTTTTTTTTTTTGGGTCCGGTCGTGGGGTCTGAACTCTGGGCCTGGGTGCTGTCCCTCAGCTCTTCAGCTCAAGGCTAGCACTCTACCACTTGAGCCACAGCGCCACTTCCGACTTTTTTCTTTTTGCTTATATGGTGCTGAGGAATCGAACCCAGGGCCTCAGGCTTGCAAGGCAAGAGCTCTACCACTGAGCCACCTTCCCAGCCCCTCCATGAGACTCTTATCTCCAATAAACCATCAGAAAAATGGAAGTGGCGCTATGTCTCAAGTGGTAGAGCGTTTGCATTGAGCTGAAGAACTCAGGGACAGTGCCCAGGCCCAGAGTTCAAGTCCCATGACTGATTAAAAAAAAAATGAAGTGGAAAACAAGTTTGCCATTATTGTTGTTGTTGTTATTATTATTGGAATTTGGAACAGGGGCTTGAACTCAGAACCTGGGTGCTGTCCCTTAACTTTTTTCCTCATAGCTAGTGCTCTACCACGTGAGCCACAGCTCCACTTCTGGCTTTTTACTGGTTGATTGGAGATAATGGTCTCACTGACTTTGCTGCCTGGGCTAGCATGGAATACCTGCTATCTCAGCTTCCTGAGTAGCTAGGATTATAGGCATGAGCCAATTTGGGCTGTGTTTTGTAGATCAGGAAGCTTATTTATTATTCTACCACTAGCCTTACTTGATTCAGATAGGCACTTCTGAGATCTAGCCATGTTGATTTGATTACATCTAATCTCTGCTTTTTTATGGCTTCATAGGGCATATCTCATTTCTAGATTTGTATTAGCTATGTATTCATACAAGAAATGTTTATAGAGTACTGCTGTACACCAGCATCACTTTAGCTGGGCTATTGGGCATAGCAGGAACATAATAGCACAAATCCAAGCCTTTGTGGAATTTACATCCCAGTGAGAGTAAATATGTTAAGTGTTAGGAAAAATAAAGCAGAGAGAAGCCTCTGGAATATTGAGGGAATTTAATTTTATGTGGCGTGGGAAAGATATCTCCTGATTATGATGCGTTCAAGCAATATTCTATTATTTTAAGCCTTCAGTAGAAGAAAACAAAGTTCAATAACTTAGAAGATAATACTTATTTCATCTGTTGCTTTGAGAGTGTTTCCATGTCAGTCCTTTGTAAGAACAATGTCAGGAAGTTGAGACACAAGGAAATCAAATGAGGTTAACTAAGTCCCTTTTTAATTTTTTTCTGTAGAGGCATCCTCTCTGTCTCTGTCTCTGACTCTATCTCTCCCTCTTTCTCTATTCTCTCTGTCTGTATAACCTAAGTTAGCCTTGAACTCACAATCCTCCTGGCTCAGCCTTTGGAGTGCTAGGAATAGAGGTATGCAGTACTATGCCCAGCCTGTCAAGGCAGTTTTTTTTTTTTTTTCATCGGTCGTGGGGCTTGAACTCTGGGCCTGGGCGCTGCGCTGTCCCTGCGCTTTTCAGCTCAAGGTGAGCGCTCTACCACTTGAGCCACAGGGCCACTTCTGGTTTTTTAGTGGTTTATTGGAGATCAGAGTCTCATGGACTTTCCTGCCCGGGCTGGCTTTGAACCATGATCCTCATATCTTAGCCTCTTGAGTAGCTAGGATTACAGGCATGAGCCACCGGCACCTGGCTTGTCAAGGCTTTTTTTTTTGGGGGGGGGTCTGGTCATGGGGCTTGAACTCTGGGTCTGGGCACTGTCCCTCAGCTCTTTAGCTCAAGACTAGTGCTCTACCACTGAGCCACCTTCCCAGCCCTTGTCAAAGCATTTTTAAGTACAGTGAGAGACTCTTAGCCCTCAGTGTCACATCTTTTGCTTAAATCTGTTGAATAGACTCTTGGATGACCTCCCCATATTGAAAAGAATAACCATAATAATAAAACCAAGATACCACCTGAGCCAAAGCTCCACTTCTGGCTTTTTGTGGTTACTAACTTGAAGATAAGGGTCTCATGGGCTTTACTACCTAGCTGGGTTCAGATTTCCATTCTCAGATCTCAGCCTCCTGAGCATCTAGGATTACAGGCATGAGCCACCTGCCCCTGGCACCAGTTTTCCCTCCTTTTACTGATTGTTGTTGTTGTTGTTGTTACTGTAGATTAAATGCAAGAAGTTGCACTTACTAGGCAAGTGCTTTGCCACTGAGCTACATCCCAGCCCTTTTCTTGGTTCATTTGTTTGTTTTTCTAATCTGAGATTATATTTTGAAAGGAGAACAATATTGGAAAACCTTGTCTCATTTTTTAGTTTCTAAAGCCATGCCCAGGGCTGGTGCACAGGGCTCTAGGTTTGAATCCCAACTGCCACAAAACAGAAAAGCCAATTGTACAGCTTAAAATGGCTGCCTAGGGCCACAGAAACTCCTAAAAATGATAGATTTCCTAGAAACTGTTACCCTGAACTCCTTGCTTGAACTTGAACTTGTATTCCCTATTTCCACTACTGTTCCATGAGGTGCCCAAAAGCATGATACAAAAATTAAAACAACACTCATCTAATTCATTTGAGAAAATAAATATATTGGAACACCTCTCCACAACTTACTGAGGTTGGTGCTGGAGGAAAAAAAAACAAAAACAACAGAACCAAGTGATTTATGGTTCCAGCCCTGGGGGTGAGAGACACATGTTTATAACAAGCTGTAGTTTCTGTCATGAGTGTTGTAATTCAGATGTTAACAAAGCACTAAAGAGAAGTGGGGAAGCAGGAGGCCTTCCAGGGCCTCTCTCTCCTCCCTTTCTTTTTCCCCCCCTCCCCTCTGGAATGGGCCTGGAGCCAGCCCAGCTAGAGCAGTGGCCATGCTGGGTACTATCCAGATTTAGCCTTGCCAAGTAAGAACTCAGGTGCTGAATTCTTCTTTAGAACACACGGGATCAGGACAAGCCAGAGAAACAAGTGGAGAAAGTTTCTGTCTCTAGGGGAGCCAAACTCTAATCCAGGTGTCCTCCTCTCATTGCTGGAAGCACTGCTGCCTCCCTAGCTTAGTGGTAGACAAGAACATCCCCAGTCACTGCCTGGTCTTCCAAGCCAACAACAGTGCAGCTCTCTGACTTTGTTCCTTATGCACAACTCTGAGTCTCTTGCCTCCATTTAACATTTTTTTTTGTGCCAGTACTAGAGCTTGAACTCAGGACCTGGCTATACTGTCCCTGAGCTTTTTTTGCTCAAGGCCTGCATTCTACCACTTGAGCCACATCTCCACTTCTGACTTTTTGCTGGTTAATTGGAGATAAGAGTTTCTCCAACTTTCCTACCTGGCTGGTTCCAACTGTGATCATCAGGTCTCAGCCTCCTGAGTAGCTAGGATTACAGGCCTGAGCCACCAGCACATGGCTTGCCTCCATCTTTTTTGCTCCATCATTAGAGAAAACTCAAGGGTAATTTCTTCATCTGGGGAGCCTTACATTAATCACATCTGCAAATAAGTCCCTTTTGCTGCTGTCAGGTGACACATTTGCAGGTCCTGAAATTGTGATCTGAGTGTATTTGGGATCTTTATTCTGACTTCCTTGGAGGATAATATGGGGAAAGTGATGGTCACTCTCTCCTCAGGATCTTTTTATCTTTCTGGAGATAACTTCCATTACAAAACTATGGCGTTTGTAAAAATTATCCATGCTCAGTGAAAAAAAAAATCAAGCAAAACAGAGAAGCAGAAGGCCCCAAATTACCTCAGAGCCTGATTCCATGTCAGCCATGTTGCCATTTTTGACGTGCTATACATTGAATGAATGTGCAGATAGATATAAGAAGATGTGTTTTCACTGCTCTGAGACCAGAGCTGACACTGTCAGGAAATTTGAGCAGAGGGACCACAGAGCCACCGTCCTGCTGGGGGCTTGAGAGGGTTCAGTTCTCTCTTCTAGATGTGTAGGTGCAAAGGCATCTGCTGCGAAGGAGGGAGGGGCAGGCGGGGGTTGCACCAGCTGCTATGGCAAGACCCATAGAGAGGAATAGGGCTTGACAGGGGCGGCCCCCCCTCCCATGGCCCGATTCAGGGTGCACATAAACAGGCTGTTTCTGTGATTGTCTCTAGCAGGCCTCCGCAGCCCTGGAGAGGGGGTCGAGAGACAGATGGTAGGTGGACTTAAGAGTTCCATATTGGCAAAGGCCAATATCATAGCAAGTCCACACAGGGCCCAGAGGATCGTTAGCCACAGGTGAAAGCTTTGTTGTCTTTTCTAAAGATAAAGATAAATGTCAGATAAAGATATCATGCAGCCTAACCTAAGCTAAAGGGAAACTAGGATCCTTCAGTTCCCTTGAAGGTAAGCCCCTGATTGACCTAAGGACCTCCCATGAGGCTCGGCCTCTTAAAAGTCCCACCACCTCACAGTGCCATCAGCATAGGAACCTTGGAGCAGCAGTTTCGGGTCAGATCAAGAATTTGGGAAAATGAGATGTGACAGTCTTCAGAAAGAAAAACCCACTTGTTTATTCAATTTACAAGAAAAAAAATTAAATCCTTTTAGTCCTGATTTTAA